GTCTCCACTCAAACTTGCAGAAAGCTAACCCAGAAAATATTAAATACAACCAGAGGCCATTTGCAGGCCATAGCAAAGACACACAATATGTTCTCTCCTCTAAGACACTGTAACCCTGATCTTGCACTACTTCCAACTGCCAGAAAATTTAATTATGGAGATATGATCCTAACATCTTGAAAACATGTTTGGAGGGCTTTTTCCCCCTTTAGTCTGTTGGGTCAGGCCCACCAAAATCTGGCATATCTCTACAGTCATGGGAATGGAAAAGAAAACTGTCTTTACTGCATGAAATCAAAAAATGTGGAGTCCTATCCATATCAGCTCCTTCAAAACTGTATTTGTGTGCTTTAACAAGGAAGCCTTCAGACTGATGTCAGATGGATCCCTGGGATGGTTATTGCATTCCCCCTATCACAGGATCAGAAGAGTCTGTGTAGTTGCCTTTGGCTCTGAGACAAAAAAACCTTGTGGAATGGTACCAAGAGAAGGAGGAGAGAATAACAAGGAAAATAATGAAATGACTCAGCCACGCCAGAAAATGGGAAGTTGGAGCCAAGCCAAAGCTAGCCCCATGACAAGATGTGAACTGTGAAAAAGTTTATTTGATTGAATTTAAGTGACTGACGAGTACTGGTGTGTCAGGATTTTTGGTGTGTTTGAAGGAAAGGTTGGGTACACGAGTTCAGGTCCAACACATCAAGTGGTCTCTGGTTTGGAGAAAAGGCCCCTAAAGAGGGGGCTGACCACTCTTGGTGGACAGGCCGGTAAGGAGAAGCTCTGGTACAATCCTGCTCTCTGTGAAAGGCAATGCTACCAGACAGGGAAGCTTCAGAAAACATCACCAGCCACTGCAGTGCTCTCCAGCTTCTCACTGCCACAAAAACCTGTGCCTTTTGGAGTTTGAAGACTCACTGGAGAATTGTTTATTCCCACACGGAGTGTTTTATAAAGGTCTGATCCAAAGCCTCTGGAAGTCTTTTGGTCAACTGCAGTGGTCAATAGCTCCAGCTCACAATGCCTTTTATGGGACTTTTACCAAGAGTTTCATATGATGTGCATCAAGCATCCCCCTCTGAGGTTGGGCTTCACAAGGAAACTGCTCCCAGCTCATTTGTTTTGACTCTCAGTGCTTTTCGTGCTGAAAGTGGAAGAAACTATCTGCAAATCCAGGTTCAGTGGGATAACAAGAAGCTGGAAAAAATGAGATTTGAAAAACTGGTCCTCTTGTTCCCCTCACAACTAAACCTAGCACGATCATTCATCTGCCTGTCTTTGGCCATCCTTCCTGCATCACATGCGGGAGAGGCCAGCATCAAGAAGAAAATGACAAAGGGAAGTAGGGCAGAGATGGGTGCCACAACAGGAGGGAGGAGCGAAAGTCAGTCTGAGAATGGGCTAACGCCAGGAAGACCACAGCAGACTATGAAATGGGTGGTGGCATGATCTTGTGGGAGTTAGGATGGTACAAAACCAAATGTTTCATAAACATGTAAAAAAACATGTTCCTCTCTGAGTGACTACCTCACTGCCTACCATTGTGAAGGCTTTCGTTTTGTGGCATAAGATGCCACTGGCTGGCAGAATTGAGATAGAGGGACACTCAGGAAAGCCACTCACCCTTACTAAAGTGCCTCAGGCTTGTGGAGGCTGGGGAATCAGTGTTCCTCCCTCTCTGTGAGTGAGCTATTACATTTTCTGATGAATAGAGATTATGGTTTCAAATCCCAGCCATTTATTTAGAGCTAAATCCAGACAAGAAAACTCCAAGCTAAATAGGTATTGTGGTATATAAATCTTCTCACTAGGGCATATGGGAAAGGAAAAAATGTCCTTCTATAACAAACAAGCCTTCTTTCACTTACCTATTCTTTTTTCTCTTCCCAGATTCCTCCAGGCAAAATAGAAGGTTTTTTTTGTGTGTGTATGTGTGAGATCTTTCTCTTGCTGTATATTCCCAGATTCAAATTTGTCCAAACCGAACCTTAAGATGTCAAAACCTTCAGCACTTGCATGCGATCTAGTTAGTCCAACAGCTAGCAAGAGCTGCAGAGAAAGGATCCTACATCCACGTTGGTTTGTGTGCATGCAGGAAAAAGAGGGGAGATCTCCTAGGCAGACAGACTTGTCATTCAAAAAGAAAAAAAGGTTTCTTCTTAATCTTTGACCTAATGAAATAAAATCCTCAGCCCCAAGATGGTGGCTGAGGATACGAGGACTGAGCAAAAGTGCTCTCATACTCTCTCATAGTCATTTGTTTGATCTGCCACTTTGGGCAGGAAACTACAAATGGCTGATTCAGTTTAAATATGGTTTTTAATCTTTGCAAACACATCTGAAAGGTGACCGTCTGTCCCTTTTCCTGCATCCTCACCATGTGAACCCCAGATTCTTACAGTGTTTGATATTCACTGGGAAAACCAGGAATTTCAAGGTTCAAGATCCAAATGTGACTCCAGTTTCTAGGCTGACAGGAGTTTGTCTTTCCAGAGAGAAAGATCATTTAAAAATCATCCGTGGGGACAGAATATAAGTGTTGTTACATGTGTCTGTTTACATACCAGAAAAGGTGGCGCTGAAGGACCTGACGGTATTCAAGATTTCTGTGTCTATATAATAGGCTTTCAGTAATGCTCACTTTTGGGAGATTCAGACTGCAAGTCAGTGCAATATCAACCATCACTTGTTACTGGAATTGCCCTTCAATATGTTATTGTTCCTGTGGCCCTTCTGAAAACATTTGCACAGCAACTGCTAGCACAGATAACTGAGAGGAAGGGTTACAATGAACAGCACTTGCGTTACACATGCTCAGTCAAACATCAAGAGATCTGTCAAATAACTTTAAATTCACAAGCTTTATCCAAATGCACTTCCAAGAACTGCTCCAGTCTCCAGCATGGAGCACAGTGCTGCAGCAGTCATTTGAAATTCTGCTAAATCACTCTGCGACTCCCTAACCAGTGCTAATAGCTTTTGGGCTGTCTGGCGACCTCACGCCAACAGGAAGCCTTGCAGGGGCTTCCAGGCCATTTACGTGTGCGAGTGATTGAGAGAGAGCACCACAGATTTAATTTAGTGCCCTCGGTGGCTTTCAGTAGAATATGTATTAATCCCTTGTGACTTCTGGTTTGGGGGGCGGGGGTTTGTCTGGATTGAGGGAAAATCAAATGAAACTCATAAAGTTGAAAGTTGCCTTGATTTCATTTGCCGACTTTAAGCAGCAAATTGTTTCTTACCCATTCTTGCATGGTAATTGGTAAATGTACTGAAATGGGTTATTTGAGTTTCGATGGACTCTCTGGGCAGTCGCACAGTAACCGGAGTTCAGAATGTGCCCTATAGGTACGATTGCTAATTGCATTGCTCCGATAATTTCTGTCTGGGAGAAACGCGTTATATTTCAAAGCTGGCATCTCGCAATGAGGAGGCAGAGCCATCTCTAGCTGCGTCTGGCACGGCACCCCAGAGCAGGAGAGAGGCTGTGGCACAGCCCTGAAAGCACAAGCCATTGGCCCAGCTGCAGGGAGAAGGAGCGGGAGTAAATTGTGTAAGATAAATGATGCTCAGTAGGTCTGTGGGCGACATTACTCTGCAGATGAGAGTCACTTCATCTAACATTAAGCTTTGAATGCTACACTTTAATTTGGTTGAGTAGCAGCTCTCTGTTGCCTAGAGAGAGAGAGGCCCTCGGGGGGCAATTTATCCTGCCCAGTGCTAAAGGCTTTCATTTCCAGAGCACAAATTGTCTCTCTGTCTGTGGGTGGGATAACTCACCTTGTGTGGGTGCCTTTGAGAGCAGACTGAGCCTGGCTTAGACTTGCACACCGACCATCTAGGTGATTAAAGGCACAATCAGAGGTGTCCCACTGAGGGCTGCCTTTGATCCAGGCAGGGCACAATAGTCTTAGGAGGGAGTTTGGGTACAAGAATTTAAATCCAGAGTAGGGAGGAAGCTGTAGTTTTCTGTGTTCATGCAACTGAAAGCAGACCATGCCCATAATCCTCAGATCGCAACCAAAGGGACAGTTTAATGATGGTTTTTATCTCCGGATTTTTTACCTACAGAAAGCAAAGAAGAATTGTGTTAAACACAGAGAATGACCCGGAGTAAAAATAGTGCAAAGCATCTCAGGGACTGGTGGGGACTGGGAGTGCCCCATACCTGGAGCAGCACTACGGGTACCCACAGCCCACCGGTGCTGCGCTGCTGGCAGGGGAGCATCTGCTCCTTCATACTTCTAACCCAGGAAAACAGCCCAGTGTCTGGAGCAGCTCTGATGAAAAAAAAAAAAAAGGAAAAAGAGGGGAAAAAACAATCACCCGACCACAGCTGGTGCTTCTCTCCTCTTCTCTCACATAGCTGCTGTTGCCATGGCAGCAGTCATCCCCAGCGGAGGATGTTCTGGAAAGTCTCTTCCTCCTCCTCCTCCTCCTCCTCCTCCTCCTCCTCCTGTTTTTGCACTTTGCATGTACAGGAACATTTTGCAGGATGAGGGCATTTATTCTATGGCTCCCCCCTTTCAGGTGTGGAGAACAAGCTTTCTGTTCCTCTGGTGTGACAGTGTTGAAATCTGCCAGCCTTGGCCCATTTTTGTGTCTTCACTGGATGATGGGAATGAGTAAGGGATGTACATTTAGTTCGCACAGTTCTTCCTCATGACCACAGAGACTGTTTCCTGCTTGAATTGCTTAGCCATGTTACTGAATTCAGAAGCCCCAACAGCTCTCAAACTCTGGCACACACATAATGGAAATGTTTGCTGGGATATTGCTTGCAGAATTCAGAGTATATAGGATGATGGATCCTGTGGACCAGCCAATCCATCTCCTGTTCAGTGTCAACCAGGGCAGAACAAAGTATTTTCAAGCTATTCCTACAATTCACTTGTTTTTTCACTTATTCGCACTTTTTTTTTTTTTTTTTTTTTTTTTTTTCTGGCTGGTTGGAGGCTTAGTCCAGACATAGGTACAAGTTAAAAGCAAAATTACAATTGTGGCTACTTGGGGCCATGCGGGGTTGTTGTGGCAGCAAATGTCCAAATCGTCTTCCTCCCATCTTCTGTGGGTGGTTCTCAAATGTAATGAATGATAAAAGAATGACCCAAAAGTCACGATGGCAGCTTTACAGCAACAGAAGATTTCTCTGTAAGACTACTTGTCCTCACTTTCAAGTGTGTTTGCTCTCTCTGACCCATGGAAATACTGAGCTTTGATTAAAAAGAGGAAATAGGGAAGTTGACACTATAAACTTTGACTTGGTTTAAAATGGTAAAAAAAGTATTTTGAAGAATATTTTGCTGCTTGAATGCTGACTAAAACTAGACTGACCTTTCTCTGGGAAATTCAAACAAACAAAAAATAATAATAAAATAAAAGGGAAGAAACAAAAAATAAAACAGCAAACTTCAGAAATTCCCTTCAGAAGGGATTTTTTTTTAAAGGTAACAATTATAAAACTATCAAAAATGTCTCTCTTCAAGGCTTTCAGGAGGAAGAATTGCTGGAGAAGTACAGACTCCGATACCTATGAGTCACTTCTCCTCTTCCTACTGTGGGACCCCATCCTGCCCTTGAACCCTGGCAGCCTGTGGCCATGAGTTTTTTTTTGCTCACATTCCAAGTCTGGGAAAACTGAAGCTTTTTCAGCCCACAGTTTTAATGACTGCTCAGCTTATCAGAGAGAATGGAGAGGGTGACCTGGCAGGAAAGCAGCTGGTGCCCTGCTGGATCCCCTGCAAGGTGAGTGAAAATCACCATCCGTTTTGCTGAACAGGCCATTTTCAATGAAAAATTGTTATGTTGGATTTTTATTTTTATTTTTTTTATTTTTTTCCCTGTGGGATTTTAGTGCTGGTTTTCCATGTTCCTCTGTTCCTCCCCTCCCTGCTGGCTGGCATCCTGCACAGCCTGAGAGTCCCATGGACAGCAAGGTCTCCTGCCTGGTGGACCCAGGTGGGACTGGGAGCCTGGGGTTGTGAAGTGCTCATCCTGCAGTGTTTGGGAGTCACTGCACCAGCAATTCCAGGCAAAATAATTTTTTATGGTAATGGACAGGGAGATTGCTCAAATGTTCTGTTTTTTGAATAGTGAAAACTTTTCAGTTCTGGAGTAATTTTGGAGGGAGTAAAATCCACCTTTTTCTCAAGGAAAGGAGATATATTTAATGAATAATTTAATAGAACTGAGAATTGGATGGCCAAAAAAAAAGGAAAACCAAAAGAGTTTGGATTAAAATTGTGTTCAAAAGATCATGTGGAGGAGGAGGAGTGGATACATCTTTTACAAAACAGACAATGAATCTTTAAAGCAAACCTTTGTTTTTGCTGCAGCCAAGGTTGTATCTCAATAATATTGCCTCACATTGAGGCTTAATAGGATTTAGATGTTATCTATACTGGGATTTCTGCTGTCAGTTTTAAGCTGCAGTAAACCATATTTGTGCAAGCCTTATTTAGCATTAACACTTTTTTTTTTCCTTTAATTTATACTAGGTACTCTATTAGTGCTGCTACATCAATATAGTAAAAAACAAACAAACAAACAAACAAAAACCCTTTGTAAGTAAGAAGTCATTTGAATAGGAATCCCAGAGATACTCAGAGATAGCTTTAGCTGGAAACATTTATTGCTGCTGTTGACTGTGTCATCTTTAAAAGGAATGAGAGACTGCACGATGAAATGCTTGGGATCACTTAGTGCTGTGCCACAATTCTCAAAATAGGATTTGAACCCTGCTGCTGTCCAGAAATCCTCCTGGCAGTTCCAGTGTGTGGCGTTCTGCATATCGCTCTGGGTGCTGTTAGGGGGAGTTTTACCCCCAAAATGGAAAGCACAGTAGGGGCCCAAATGGCACCAGCATATCCCCTGCTTCAGTCATGCAGGGGCAATTGGTTGACCCTAAAAGGAATTATTCTGAATGTTTCTAATGTGCTTCATGTTCTGTGAATGGGTGGTGTTGCAAAGTACAATTAAAGCTAAAAAGACTCATGGTGCTAAAACACATTACCTCTCACAAAGGCACAACACCAACATTATTGTGGCACACTTGAGAAAAATCAACAGTATTATTAAAAACATGCTGATCATAGGAACTGCTAACTTATGTGATAGGCTAGGTGTATATTAAATTAATTGATTGTACAAATTAGCCATTTTATGAATAATATTAAAAGGAGTATGAGACTAAGCGAATTAAAAAGTGCTCCATTTCTAGTGATATTTATAATTCTGAAGCAGAAGGGCTGGTGACATCATTATTGTTGGAACCCTTCCTGCAGTAGTTCTGCTTTGGAGGGGTAGCAGTCTAGCATATTGTAGATAGTTAAGGAATTTCCTGCTCCTTTATCAGCCATCCTGAAGTGCAAATTTAGATCTGTCTAGGGAAAAAGACTGGAATAGGTCAGATCAGCTGGGAATCAATAAAAAGGGAAAGACTTCTAGTAGCCTAGCAAAAAGGAAAATCGTCACCTTGAGGAAAAGGAACCTAATCATAAAGTCTCAGCTAAGGCAGGAATGCTCATGCACAAATGTGGAAGCAGAGGAGGTTCCAGAAGAATTACCCAAGGGTGAAGGAAATAAGCATATGAGTTATTAACATTAAATATTCTCTTCTGGATCAGACATTCAAGTAGCTACATTTTAAAATAATGATTGAAAAAATATGGCTCATAAAAATTAGTGAAGTTGCTTGTGAACAATGTTGAGATCCATCTGATTTATATTGTTTGCTTAATTTTGTTGTATTAATTAGTTGGTAATAGTCTGCTAAAGCAAATAACAAGACACTTGCTGGGAATAAAGCATATTTTCAACCTGTAAGCTGTTAGACATCATTTAGTCACTAAGATCAAGTCAATCTAGGCAGGAGTATTTAACATTTGGGTGTTTGAGACCAAAGCCTACACTGAGGGTAATAGCATTACTCTGCATAAAAAGAAAGTCTGTTGCAGGAATCTACTCAGATAGATCAAAAGGAGGTGAGGGAGGCTCCCTGCTACCAAAACCTTGCCACATAAACCCACTACAGGAGATCAGGCAGTGAAGGGAAAAATAGGAGTTAGTACAAATGCTTAATTTCTCACCTGAAACGTCTCACTCTGATGATGCTGAACAACACTGGACATGGCAAAAGTTCTGTTCTGAGCCCCTGAACTGTGATTTAGGTTTTAGACATTACCATTAATTATTGAAACTCAGAAGGCTGCAAAAACATCTTGATTCATTGGCAAACTGACAAACATATGGTGTGTTTTGCAAACCTCTAGGTTTCTGTTCAGAGGAGGAGAACATTAATTGCATACAAATCCTACCGGGAGTTCTGAAACCAGCCATCATTAACATTGTTAGACATCGTCTCTGGGAAGTTCAGTGCATTTTAAAATCTGAGTGAAAAATTAACAGCTTTTGTAAAACTTTTGAGAAGGAAAGTGCTGAAGTGTAATAAACTCAAAAGAAGAGCATCAAAGTATCGGAAGCTCTTCTGTATCTGGTGTTGGTGCATCAAACAGCTTTGATTGTTGATTGATAGCCTGGTTGGCAGGTTAGTATTTGTTAGCACTGGGAAACTCGAATCAGAGTCTGTTGTTGCATGTTGCTCATGACCTCCAACCAACTCTACTTAGGCCATTTGATTGCCACATTGACATCTGAAATCCTATGAATGTCAAGACTTGATAACTAGATTCACCTAGCACAGAGCTTAATTGACATTGGCAGTGGGCCTTAGATAAAGGAGGTTGTGCTGTCATTATGGACACAACCCAGAAAGTCCCACCAGCAAATGCTGCAATGCATCATGTAAAAAATTAAGCACCCTCTTTTTCATCTAGGTTGTAGCATGGCTGATATATCTAGCTCTTCTCCCTACACTGTTAAAAACCATGTATCACATTTATGTCACGCAAGTGCAGCAGTGCTCTGGGATCTACAGTTGTCGTTGCTATGGTCAGCACAGTGTTTGCCTAAACCAGAGATACATGAAGGATCACCTTGTTTAATGACCACTTTTTGACCAAAGTAGTGGCTCTTCTACTTGTCCTCTTCAGATTTTCTGCTTGCTGTCTCCCATGTCTTGAAAGCAACATCTCATTCCCTGCAGACCTGATGAAGAAGCATGCTGTCTTTATGACTGTGGATGGGTACACAGATATTGCAGTACAGATAAACAGGAGGGACAAGTTCATATGGGCTGATGCGTTTTGAGCAAGGGCTGCAGGATCCTCATGCCTGGTGACTTACCTTGCACTTGTATTAAAGAGGCTGGTAGAGCACTCAACACAGACCAAAACTTGAAGGAAGGTTATTCTGTTGTGGTGTGAATTCAAAACCTGGAGTGACAGGACATGTGAGTACCCCATCTCAAAGCAAGGTCCAGCTGAGATGCCCATGAGTTTGTCCTGTAGCCCCAGGGTGCAGAGCAGAGACTAGATCTGCAAATGAAGTCTCTAGGACACAGCACAGAAAAATCCCAGGCCATCTTGTGACACAGGAATGGAGAAGGACTCATGCCCTTCACCAGGTCATTCCCCCACATCAATGCTTGTTATTCCTTTCCCACTTTTAAATACCTTCAGTGATTCCTCTCTTTCAGAAGGGTTAAATTCCACATTGTTTAGCAACTTGCATACAGCCCTAACAATTTCCTTGCTAAGGGCTATCACTGCTCTATTCAAGCCTCATATTTCAGTGCCAGTGGTCAAACTCCAGAAGCAAAGCAAATCTCATTGTACTTATGTGTGCACCCTCGAGAGCACTCTTCTGCAGCAGTCTTTGAAGCCGAGACTGCTGGGTGGATTTTCTTGCTTTCATCTTCCATCTCACATTCTTCATGTGTGTAAAATAGTTTAAAACTGAGCCCCAGTGTGCTTATAAAATGCCAGGTCATTGACAATTGTAGCGCTCATTTGCTGTGGTCAATTTAGTACTAATAAGCTGAAACTGTTCTGCAGGGATTCTTCTACATGGAACATAAACTCCTTTTCCCTCACTTAAGAACACTTTCCTATAAAATGATTGCAACCTAATAGTTTTCCTCCCCATTTTAGTAACCAGTCTCAGTCTCTATTAGTGCTATTTCCCCCAGCAGCTTTCCCTATAAGCTCTATTTCAAGGCACCGAATCAATGATTACACGGTGTGCAGTCCATTGAACTGTCCATCCTGGGAACCCAGCATGTAATACAATCTCTAATATCCTAGTGCCATAGTAAAAGTAGAATTTACTGCAGAAGTCTAAATTCAATGTTCAGACTCATTTTTTTTCCTTTTTCTTTCATTTCATCCAGATATTTTAAAACAGGTGGGACATCTTCTCAGGTGTCTCTCAGAAACACTGAGTCTGCACGTGGGCTTCCTGACCCTGTGCAAATGCAATAGCAGCAGCAAAAAGGAGGTTTCACACCCTCTTCAAGCCATTACTCACTCAGCTCTGAGGACTGCGATTTGCATACACTTATCAACACTGGTCACTTCATCTCTTTCCATTTTTCCTTGTCCTGTCCCCATAACCGGTTGATTTTCTGAATTCATTTCTCATTGTCTTTTCTGGCTCTTTTCTCCTTTTGCCATTCTAGTGTTTTCTGATTCTTCATATTTCAGTAAGTTACTCTTCCCTATACTGTTCACTGAATCTCTTACGAGAATATTCTCTGTGCTTATTCCTATACTGACTTGGGGTGCTGTTGAAATCTGTAATAAAATATTTAAACAGTACTGTAAACAAACCCCAGACAAGCAGAAATAAATGCAATTAATTCCCTATCTCAATCCGGTACACTGTTTGTACAAGGCGTTACTTTCTTCTCTGAGCAAGATGCCTGGCTGTGCAACTTCATATACTGTACTGTCAGTACTATATGTATTTTCACCAACTGCTGGCCAGATTTCCTTAGTCATATATCGTGCATATATTGTGCACATGTGAAGTCACAGCTCAGTGGGGCTAGAACCTCTGCTTTAGTGGCATTATTATCAATAATTCAGTGAAAAGCCTTCCCGCAATGAAGTTACCTTGTCTGATCTCTCTTTTACAGCATAAGTGGAGTCTCTTGTCTACTTATACTCCATGAAGAGAACTATATCATTCCCTGATAAAATGACTCTTGTAGTTGTATCCCCAATAAATTGCCTGTGTGACATCATTAACTTCCCGCATATTCTGTGTGGTCATAAATAACCAGCACTTCCACATGAAAAATGGAGGAAGCACCATCTTTCTGACAGGCTATGCATTGTTATGAATTAAAACAGAACAAAACAAAACAGGACTTATTAATTTTATATTAATTAAACTAGTATTTTAACAATAACATTTTTGTCCCTATGTTTTCCTCGGCAGTAATCAGATTCCTTCATTGTGATAAACTGCCCGGCCTTCGGCCTCATAGCTTATCCACTTGGGAATTGAATTATTGCTTCATAAAACAGAGGGCTGATTATATAATCACTTAATTAAATGTTGTACTCAGTCATTGCTGAGCTATTCCTGAAATGCATTTGGCATCTGTACTCACTAGGCAAATTTAAACATTGGAAGAATTATTTTTTTCAGATGTACGTCTTAAGGGTTATTATTTCCAGTGTTCCTTTGTCTGTGTGGTCTGGTTATTTTCCATGTGTCAAGCTCACTCCTAATCACAAAGGAGATGAAATGCTCTTTGTGTTCCTATCTGACTTGCAGATTGCAGTCAGATTCTTGCTGTTATCATTTTGGAAGCATTTTTCTTGCTTCTGTCTGCAACAGCATTCAGAGGGAAAGAGCCCTCAGTAACCTATTGAGCAACTCTGTTCTGAGCAGGTACCTGGGACCTTACCAGAGACCACTGAAATTGCCATCAGGAATGCATCAGACCCCAGGAAGGAAAAATACAGAATTTTCCACAGCCCCAGGTGAATTCCCTCTTGCAGACAAGCACCAGAGGCATGCTGGAGGCTGTGCAAGGCACCAGGCTGTGTCTGAGACAAACCCTTTCGTTTTGCTGAGCCCAGGCAGTGCCCAGACCTGTCTCTTTATGTGACTTTTCAGTTCCCTTGGCAGCAACAAATACCAATGCCAGCATGTGTTTGTAAGGTATGGTCCAGCTAGTGTAGATCTCAGCACCACAGAGGTCACAGAGGACCCTGAGATGTCCCGCAGCCTTGCCCAGAGCTTGTCCCTGGAAGGCTGTATGGGTTTCACCTATGGGAACTCACTGCCAGGGAGGGCAAGTAAAGTGCTGGCCATGGGATCATGCTTCTAAATTACATGAACATGCACAGACCAGACAGGCTCATTTGGGAGGACAAAGAAATGAACATACTTGCATAAAAACTTTTAATTTTCCTACTTCGTTTGGCAATTTCTTCAGGTAGCAGTTACAGTGAAGCAAAGATGCTTCAATATCTTCATCTTGTCTGTTCCTGTCTCCACCACACTCAAGAGTTGCCCCTTACTTTTGAGCATGGTTTGGTCACAGGGTAATGTGGCCACATGCCCTGCCCATATAGTACGGATGCATAACTCCACCAGAGCAGGACAGTGGACAAGGAGAGCCACTGACAATCAATGCTTCTTGCAGGGAAGTCCCATAGTCCTGCCAGGGATGGTTCAGTTCATTTTCCTTAAGATCTATCCCTGAACCCAGCTGTCAGTTCATTTTCTCCTGCCAGGGGAGAGACGTTCGTCTACATTTTCAAGGATTTTCTTTCTGTCCTTTTCCAGTTTGGTCTTTGCCTTGTGATCCAGCCTATGATTTGAGCTGCACAAACTAGAAAACCTTACCTCTTTTCATCATCAGAGTCCCACATTAGTGTACATAACTTCAGGGTCTCAGTCTCCTGCTGGCTTTAATAGGACTCTGTTAATATCTACGGGAGCAAGATCAGATCAGTGCAAGGAACTAGGGCAGAAAGCAGAGGCTGACTTCAACATCAGTTATTTTGCTGGCAGAAAGAGAACACAAGAATATTTGCTCTTTCTGTTCCCATTGCTCTTAGGAACAGGGAGACCTAGGACAGAAAGGCATTAAAATCATTTATTCGGAAATGAAACCTTCCTTTTACTTGTTCATTTTCCTTAACAATAGGCAGGTACAAACACTGAAACTGCATGATCTCATTCCTGAATTAGAATCAGTATTCCTCTCTGTTTCTTAATTTAAGGATTTTTTTTTTTTTCCAGAATTGCAAGACTTTGTGGCTGAGTGGATGAACTCTCTTTTCATTAAGCAGAATCAGTCATGTTTTGGCTCAGCATTGTATATTTTCAAATATCTTTTCCCCTTGATCTTGTTTAATTATTTCCACAGGATTAACTACTTTCTAATGTGTGTCACTTTCCTCTGCAGGAAGCTCTGTGCCGGGTAGTATGTCTTCTCTTATTATGCATTTGCTTGGAATATAAATTGCTTTTCAATCAGATCTTTGCATTTCTAACAACATCTTCTGTATTGCAGCAGGTGCTTTCCCTAGCGGTTACTTATATGGACTCTAATGGCATGTCATCTGTCTATGCAGCCACTTCTCTGCCAAATATGTAATAGAGGAATTTTCTACTCACAGAAGCTTCCGGCAAATTTGGTTCTTTAAAGGCTGAGTTTTTCATGTATTTCTACATAGCTCATTTCACTGGGCTTAAATAAACTAAATTAGGATGGTTTAAAAACGCCTGGAAGCCTGATCTCATATCAAACTGCATCCCTTCCTTTTCTTCAACTCGGCTTCTTTAGAAGGTCAAGAACTACATTTTTCTCTCTCATCTTTAAAACTCTGATAGGTTAAGATGCAGGAGATTAAACCAAAATAACTACCTTTTCACACAGAAAATAGTTAAACTGCAGAACTCTTAACTGTGGGCTATGGAGGACAGGAGTGTGGACAGGTTGAAAACAAAAGTAAACAGATGTCTGAAGAACAGATCCAGTTGTGGCTTTTAAATACAGTAGGTATAGTCTGAACCAGAGTTCAGTGAGAACCCAGTGTCCTCCTGGCTGATAGCAGGGGACAAGGAACTGCTCTGACCCTGCCTTGGGCCCTGGGCCCTGCAGGCCTCTGTGGCCTGCTCTTCAGATCAGGATCCTGTGCTGCGTGGTCCTTGAGGATGCTGATTCAATATAGCCTAGGCTACCAGCCCGAGAAAACTAATGACTGGAAAAAAATATGTGGGGAAACCGCATGAGCGAACAGTGGCACATACAGCAGGTGCAGCCTGGACACCAGGTTTCTGTTCTGCCAAAGAAAAGCTGCAGCCTCAGTGGAGAAAATGTGGCTGTTGAGTGTAAGCAGAGCTCTGCTCTCCTCCAAACAAAACCAGGTGCGGTACTGAGGGCACTGCTGTACAAGACGAGTGAGTGATGTGTCTGCTGTTGGACTACTTCTGTCATTGACTTGACTTTCCTTGATTTGGGGACATAAACTTACTGGTCCTTCAGTTAATCAAGGCGGGCCAATCATTATGACAGCACTGAGGTCATGGACTCTGCGATGGTTTATTTGTATGATCAGATGCAATGGGATAACTGCACGCTATGTGCAGGGTAAAATCCATTTCCTCACCAGCAAACAAGGGTCCACAGTTCCTTGAAACTCCAAAGTGATCCTGTTAAGAACATTGCCTTTTGTAGATTTTTGCTAAACGAGATTATTTTTCTCAATTGGAACTGCTTCTGATCCTGAAGCGTGCCTGAAAAGACAACAGCAAAAAAGAAAGCAGAAGATTTTAGAGAGGGTAAGAGTAAGGCTGAGGGAGGAATAGAAATAATAAAACAATGGAGCTGCAAGTGCCTATATACTTCTTGTAGCATCTCCTGTGCAAGAAACAGAGTGAAAGGGGCTGTTTGTTTGTGGCATACGGTGACAGCAATGATTATAGCCTTCTTTTCACTCCAGTGCCGTATCTGCTATGTCCAGTAAAATGCTTCTAAAATAGACTTGGGATTTTAGACAGGATTTTAGCTGCCACAGATAAATTAGTGAATGGAAAGAAAAAGCATTGTTTCTCTGTAGCATTAGATATGGTATTTTTAAGCCAAATGTATTAGAGGAACAAATAATTGCTATTCACATTGGGATTTAACTAAAGCTAGTTGCGGAGAAAACAAAGTTCTCAGCCCATGTGGAGCACCAGCAGCTCTCTCCCTATGTAGACCCCAGAAGACTGAGTCTGCTCATACCCATGGTAGTCTCTAGGCTCTGACCTTTAGCTTTTGCCCAAGGCAATCTAAAAAGCGAGGACAACATTCATCCAGGCAGTGCTCTAACCTTCCCCACCACTTCCTATATGAGCAGAGAGCAATGAAGATCATCCACTGCACATACTGACCAAAAGGCAGGCAGGACTGAGATAAGCCACCTGCATGCCTGAGGGAAAGGGCATAATAAATAAAGCCTTTGAGGACATAATATAAGCCCCAACTACTGAAACATGGGAATTACTGGGAAAAAAAAAAAAACATTCTGTGGGCAAGGTTTGGGTTTGATTATACTTTACTGCTGCCAGGCTGATTTCTGCTGGGTTGAATTTCCTACTGCTTGAAATTTATGCTTACATACTGCATTTTTACTTGGCTCTAAGGTATAAGGAACTAGGCCTGAGGCTCTTAACAATAAAAATGAGAGAGAGATATAAAGACATTGGCTTTATTTATTCTTTCACCAAACTTAGACTTTTCTGCTCTGGATCTGCTTTTTTTCATACTCATGTATTTCATAAATAACTCCACTTTGTCTTAATGGAATTAAATAAATACAATATGTCTCAGAAAAATCATTTAGAATAACTCTTTTCTTCTACTTCACTGTTATCTCTTGGGACAGTGACTTCTAAAGATTTTAATGGGCTGTAACACAACACAGTATGACGGGACACTTGTAAAACAAAGGTTCTTCTTAGTTCAAAGACAGAAGTTCTTGCACCTAAGGACCAGATGAATGTTACCGCTTACCTGCAGCTTTATTTTATAATGCCTGTTATTTCAAATATGTGGTCTTAAAAGAAAAAAAAAAAAAAAACAACAAAACAAAACAAAAAAAAAACAAGCAAACAAACAAACAGAAAAGAGAAGAGAAAAGAAAATAGAAGAGAAAAAAAGAAGAAAAAAAGAAAAGGAAAGGGGAAAAGAGAAAAGAGAAGAAGAGAGAAAAGAGAAGAAGAGAGAAAAGAGAAGAAGAGAGAAAAGAGAAGAAGAGAGAAAAGAGAAAGAAAGGAAAGAAATGTATAAATCCAGTGTAAAGGAGGAAAAAGGCAATTCTAAAAAAGCCCAGGTGATGGAGCTACTTCATTGTCAGTGAGCACAGAGCTGTCGAGGATCTTTGCAGAAAAGAATCGTCGGCAGCAGAAGTCCCCAAATACCTCTGCCAGCACATCCTATAGTTCCTTTTTCCTGACTAAAGAGCACAAATCAGTGTGCACAACTTTCTGCATATCTTTTCCAGGCAAAAGTTCGACACTTTGGTGTTATGTTCTCTCTCTCCCTTCCAGAAAAAAATCTATTTACCTCTGGTTTTACCTATAGCTCCCTAATGAACTATATGCAGTATACCATCATAAGTGTTTTGTTACACATGCTGTAATGCTGACTTCAGAACTGCATCAGAAATTTTCCCAGCAGCCACTTTTAATATTTTTGTTGCAAAGGGGAAGCTATACTTTTGCTTTTCTTTTTAATATACAAAAGCACTAAGATGCGTGAAAATGTTTGTTTTGAATTATGCTCTAAAAGACTTTGTATTAGGATGCTAAGATAAATCTTTCCTCAAAATAATCTTATTTCTGCAATGCTAGGAAGCAATGATCAGAAACTGTGGTTGGCTACTCTCACTGCAAATTTCCTCAGTTTTAGACTTTCAAAAAGCCCACCTACCTGTCTCTGCTTATAAACGTAGCTACCATGAGCTGCAGGCTCTGTTCCCATCATGAGTTAACTGCAGACATCCCTGGTGAACCAAAGACAGATTAAATCCTTGGCACTCCCCTTAGAAAACACTGCTGAGCAGTTAGTGAATTTCTAAATATTTTGTGTTTGCTGTGGACCAGGAGAAACCGGGTCTTGGAATCTTCTACTGAAGCACAACAGACACCCAGCCCTGCTCTCTGCCTGGGCTTTTGCCCCAGTTTGTTGCAGCAGGTGCATTATTACAGGCATCATTTTGTTGATCAGCCTCACCTAGCATTCACCTGCAGCCTGAGCAAATGCCCATAATGCTCCAGCAAGCTCCTCCCCAGTGAGGTCTGGCATTGACTTCCCTTTGAGAAACCCAAAATGGGTCTCACACACTGAACTTTACAAGGCTGGATTCGGTGGTGCCTGGGTTCAAACCATCCTATCTTTTGTTCTGTGTTCATGAACAAGAAGGACTGCATGAAATACGGGTAGAGACAGCCTCATTTGTGGAGAGGTTACCACTCGGGGACTGAAGAGTCCTGTGGTTTATCTGCCACTCCTCCTCTGCCTGACAGCACACCTTGGCCAGGTCACTTCGTTGTGCAGCACCTTTAATCCCCCTCATGTTTCATACCAAGGTCGGGTAGAGCAGCTGATGGCCTTTTGCTCTGAGGGCTTATTCTCATACCGTGTGCTACTAAAATATCTGACAAATCTGCACACCACTGTCAGGGGAACATCCGACTACTATTGTTATGAGCACATATTTATATATATTTATTATGTTTGCATTTAATATTAGTTCAATTTCCATTATATTGCTTTTCAAAGAAAATTGAAATACATTTGAAATTAATACCGTTAGTACCAGAGGCTAACAACACGGTGTTGCATACGGATGTAGTTATGAAATTTCCTTAGTTCATATAAGGTGAAGGTTAATTTTAGACTGCAGTAAGAGCATTGGAGCCATTAAAATAGTATGGAAGAATGCTACCAGATGAGAAATTGTTTGAAATAAATTAAAACCATGATTTCAGTCATGTTTTTCTGGAGTACTTTGATACTAGACAATTTTTCTTGCCTGTAGTCCTGTCAGAGATTTTCATAGCAATCATGCTCATTTCCAAGGCAATCATTCTTGCTTATATTATTAATAAGGACTGTTTCTCAAGGTATGTGAATATACTGTACATAAGTAAAATAAATCTGATCCTCTAAAAACCCCTTCAATTTTGTTTTTCTCTTGTATTGGTATAACTACTGATAATCCATGATATTATAATGGTGGTACAAACACAACATGCTGTATTATTTTGACACTTCTTGATGTGTTTCTTCATTCCCCTCTGAGGTTTATTATGTCACTGTCAAAATAGCTACTGGTATGAAATTTTATGACTTGTGTGGCAAAGGATGTGGTACCACAGAGATGAACAAAGAATGGGTCAGCTCAAAGATAATCCATCTTCCCTGCTCTGGTCTGCACCCCCCCTTCCTCCTCTCCTTGGCAAACTCTGAGGCTGTGCCGCAGAGCTGCAGGAATTGGGGTTGCATTAATGCTGTGCTAGATGCCTTCATTCACTGTTCATCCTTCTGAGGATACTCCCGATGCAGCTGTGATTCTCTGATCTAATTTAGCAGGGTCAGTGTATAAGAAATTGTGAAAAATAAAGGTAGCTTATATTTTGTGTTCTAACTTTTGTTTGTTTGTTTTTGAAAGCAAGAGAGCTCCTTCTGATTTAAAAAGGATTGGTGGATGTTCTGTGCTTTTTAAACCAAACTGTGGGGTCATCTGCCTGTATTTCCTAGTTACTGAGAGAATAAAAAAGGCTATTTTTATCACCTCTATAGAAGTAAAAATCATCCCATATTTTCCTGCAATATTTAGCATTTTTGTTAAACAGTAGCCATGGCACAACCTTGTCTCTGGGCAGTTTTTTTTTCTAGCACAGAGCCCAGGCATTTTGCCTGAAGAAGGTAGGCTTCCATCTCCCAAAGTCTTCCCTTGCCTTCCTAGAGCTGCAGCAGGACATAGCCTCCTAAAAGAGGCTGTGCCTTTCCTTAGGCTTCCTCCTAGGACAGAGGTCAGGGGGACAGCCATCTTTTTTGGCTGCTTTAACCTCTGACAGAGGGTAGGGCATGTTTTGTAAGGTAAGAAAAGCGAAAGGTGAAGATGTAGTTGAGAAGCAAGACACCAAACACAGGCCTGTGGCATGAGTTATACAGCAGAATACTTTGTATGCTGTTTTTTTTTAATGTGCTTGTGTTCTTGAGTTACAGGGATTTAAAATAAAGATGTATAGAAAAATTTTGTTAAGTGTTGGCCAAGGACATTGGTGCAAAGACTCAGCTGGTAAGAAGTGCTTCTAACGAGTCAGCAAAACGCACCTGTGTCCTGCAAGACTTCCCTGCCTCTCGCCCATTTGCATGTATCAACAAATAACCTGTGTGTGAAAGCAAACCGAGTATATCCAGGGGATAATGATAGTCACATTAACCATCACCAGTGAGCGCCTGCATTTGTGAGCAGCTAACTGAAACCTGCCCTTTAACGCTCGCTTACTCGCCAGGACTGCAGCATTTCACATCCTACACAAGACAGCTCAGCAAAGCAGGAAGGACTCGGCTCTCTTCCACTTTCCAGCCCATGACAGACTTTGACCATAGAATTAACTAGTTCATTTTCACTATTTTCTCCTCACTCCGCTCTGCCAAAATGCAATTAGACAAAGACACTGCATGCAGAGGCTGTTCCCTGCCAGAGGGCACTTTTGAGGAGACAACATATATTGAGGTTGTTTCAGGAGTTAAGACTCAAACGGTGATTTAAGGGGGAAATGTTGCATTAAGAAATGTTCCATGTTGCTTTACATTTGTCATTTGCATGTGCTCAGCTATTCCTCGGGTGGCTTGAGTTTCAGCAGTTATTACCTGCATTATTTTATCCAGTTAAATTTGTCTGTGGAGGAGAAAAGTGAGGATTTTGGTGATGCAGTGGCTCTGGGGTTGGTGTCCATGTTAAGAGCAGTGAGAGCAGTGCAGGCAGCAGCAGCTGCAGCATGAGCGCTGGTGCAGGCAATGGGGAACTGGTTGCTCCTGTCCTCAGGGTAACCTTCCCAGTGACAGATGGAAAACAAAGAGCTGTCACCGGGTGGACAGGATGTGGCTAACTCTAAACGGCGTTACAGAATTTCTGTGGTTTTCAGTAACTGTACCTTCAATATGTTACTGAGTCCTGAGTAAAACGTCAGGAAGATTGAAGACTAGGTTGCATCTCAAAAGATGCTGAGAATTTGCTGAGCGCATGAAACTCTCACTGATTTTATTTCTGCAGAGGGCCAAAGAAGTCCTCACAGATTCAAATTCTTACAATATGTGGTAAGTTGAAAATCATGGTGGGCAAACGGCAAACAAACAAAATCACACATCGGAACTAGCTGTTCAATTCCTCACATATGTTACTGATTCCATATGCAAAAAAAAAAAAAAAAAAGGAGGGAAAAATCAAACGTGCAGCCAGATCTCAAGGACAGCAGGAATCGGATCAGCAGTGGCAGTGAAGACCAGCTCCTGTAAAACCAGATCTTGCCCTGGGCTGGCAGGGAGCTCATTGCTATTGTCTAATATCATTGGATCCAAATAATCACATTCATTTTGGCTTGTACTGCAGGGAAGAAGTATGCTAACAGAAATCCAAAACTTCTGAGTAGAACGAAGATGAAGTAAGAGTTAAAGGATAAACATGAGAATTATATTGTTTGGTGGAAGGTTGAGAAAGAAAAAAAGCAGAAGTATACAGGGGAGGTTGGTTCAAGGACCACTGTGTTCTCCTCTTTCTACTGCAGGTTTTTAGTTTAGAATTTCTACGCATTGCTGTAAACACATAATTTATGTGTTCCTATAGCAAGAAACAGAGACATATTCAATTATATTAGAATATGAAAATTTAAAAATGCAAATCCCATTTGCACTTATACCAGGGAAAATCTGAGCTAATACTCTAGAAGTGTGAAAGGAAATTCAATCCTGCTATATTTAATTTATGAGACATTCTAATATCATGTGACCTGGTACAAAGATAATAAAAAGAAAATTAATACTAAATACTTATGCAAACACTAAAAGAGTATATGCAGTTACTTCATCCAATCTGTACATTTATGATGAATAGAAAATCTTCAATATCTGTGTTCAGAGCAATTGCTAGCTGCCTCCATGCAGGCAGAGAATACTTTATTGCCAATTGTTCTCTTAAAATCTTCTAAGAATTGTGAAGAATTTTAAAATAAGAAAACTGTGCTCCAACAAAGTGTATCTTAGTGGTCTACAGGCATCTGCCTGTAAAAGCTGTGGAACTTAATTGGCAATAACAGTCTCTCTATAGCTTTTCTGGATCTACAATGGTGTAGTCAGACTGTAATTTACAATCAGATTTCATTCAGCTGTTCAAAAGCCTTTAGGTCAAAGATTTATTAAATTCCAGAGGATTAAGTTTTAAGAGAAAATTAAATTGTATAATATACAGTACTCCTAGTACTCCTGTTTATTGGAATCACCTTTCCATTACTGGTGACATCTTCAGTCCCCTGACTCTTGGACCTATTTAGCACTTAACTTTCACCCATCTCAAACTGTGTTCCTAACATGCCAATTTTAAGAGTATGTGCACATATGCATTAGATAGACTGAATTTCTTTTCTTTAGCCCCCAATCTGAGATATATTAAAGAAAGCAGAGGGATGTCCATTGACTTTATGGTGAACTAAATCAGTTGCAAATCATGGTAAAGCTTGTGCAAGTGGAAAATGGTTTTTCAACCTTAGATGTATCAAAGCACTCAGACATACAGCGACTATGCGAATGCCTGAGTCATTTTATGAATAGTTGTTTTAGTCCAGGTCCATAAAAATAAATAGGCCTCCAACGCATGTAGGCTTGAAAATCCATATGCCTGGAAAATTAATGGAGTTGTGTGGGATACAGTTTAGTTTCTGCCCTAATACTGGGACAGTCTAACGGTTGTAGCACAGGACTGCCCAGAAATTATTACGTCTGAACTGCTTCGTGGCTTTAAGCAGAATGAGAATTGTGTAAATTAGAAATGAAAGTAGATGGAAAGTGTGACTTTGGTCCCCTCCACCCCACTCCAACCACATCTCTGAATAACCATTTTCCCCTAGCAGTGCTTCTGATTTGAAGTGGATCTGTAAAGACAGG